TCTTGAAATTTGAAAAAAGAAACATACTGTTGATGTTAACTTCTTGCTGTGTATAATGTATGTATTGTTGAAGATTCTTTTACCCCCCAAATGAAATTTGACCTAACATTTTTTGCAGATGTGCCGAAAGGTGAAAAGACACCGGCTGTGAAGGAGTTCGTCGCTCTGCTTCCTCGGCCAAATTATATTCTACTGAAAACTGTGGTTGAATTTTTGACCAAGGTAGGTTGTAGTCGTAAACGCCCGTTATTTGTACAATTTTTGTTTCTCTTAAGGTTGCGGCCAACCATAAAGTAAATCTCATGACTGCAAATAATCTCAGTGTCGTTTTCGGGCCGAATCTTACGTGGCCTACTGATCAGCAAGTAAGTCTACGCTCCCAATGAGTCTTTGCACTTTTACACTTTTTTATTCGCTCTTCAGGTGCCTATAGCTCAGCTGAATAACCTGAACAATTTCTGCTATCGACTAATAGTCGACTACGACAAAATTTTCAAATGACCACGCAATTTTTATGTTTAACATCTCGATCTTATACATAATGTAATAAGTCCCAACTTCAACCTTTCGTAACGAATTTTCCTGTATCAAGTCCCAAATTGAATCTAACGAATATTTTCTTTCTGCACTCATCTACTTGCACAACTGCATTTCCAGGCCTTCGAAATAGCGGTTAACGAATTTAATTTACTTGCTTTTGACTTCCTGTTTCTAATCCTGGCTGTGTTGAAAATCGCGTCTATGTGACGTGCTGTCTTGTCAATGTTATGGTTGTGATATCCTTTTTGGTGATTAATGCCAAGTTGTGATTAAGTGCGAATTAACGAAATAAAAAGTGCATTAGCGCATTATTTTTCCTTACTTTTCCGTGTTCCTGTCTTGTTTTCCTTCTTTCCGACTGGAGTGTTCGAAATCGATGATCGAAATCGTTTTCATGAGGGTGTGTGGAGAGACACAGGCCATTGCACGTTATTCCTGAATGACCCTTATACCTTTTATCTGCAAGAGCTTATAGTTATGGCCGTTGCCAGCCACATCGTAACTCTCACGTCCAAGAAACTAGTGCGAGAAACTCCCCGAGAAGGGACACCGAAATTTTTGTTACTTGCGTGAGTTATAACAACAAGCAGGTAGCTTTTGTACTTGTAAATAACTTGGATTTTTCTAAATTTT